CCTCCTCCTCGAGGGGTCCTCCTCCCTCCTCCTACCTGTGGTAGTGGTGGTGGACCGTGGGCCCACCCCGTCGCTCGCGCGGCGGGCGCCGAGCGCCTGGCGGCGGCCCCGGGCGCCCCGGCCGAGGCCGAGCGCCTGGCCGGGGCCGTGCGGGCGCCCCCAGGGGGGGCCCGCCGACCGGCGCTCCGGGTGGCGGCTGTCGCCCTGGCCTGCGGCCCAGGCCCAGGGCCAGGTCGGGCGCGTCCCCCGACGGGCAGAGGCTGGACGAAGAATCCGACAAATTGTCGGTACTCATCGAATGCCCCCCCAAATGCTCCAAAAATGGTCCCCGGACTATGTTTTGACGATTCTTGAGTATTCCTCCTGTAAAGGAACAGGCCAGACTTTAGCCTTGGGGAAAGAACAATGACATCGAAAAACTCGGAGGTCCGCGCGGGTTTCTCGGATCGGCGCTGGGGCCCCTGGCGGCGCCTCCGGCGCCGCCCCATGCGCGCTCCGCGCGCCAGGGAGGGGTCCCAGCGCCGATCCGAGCAATCCGCGCGGACATCTGAGTTGTTATGTTTGTGTCATTCTTCGTTCCCCTGCTCACCGACCTTTGGCGGGCGAAGGGCGGCGTCGGCGGCGTCGCCATCGTCGCGTCGTCCTCGGTGCCGTGGTCGTCCTCGCCGTGGCTTCTCTCAAGGTTCGAGCGCGCGGGGGTCGAATCGAGGTGCGAAGATCGCGTTTTCTCTTGTCCAGCCCTCCCGTGATGGGTTCTCGTTTTGTACGTTGACGTCGCTGCTTGTTTCCCCAGTGGCGGCCAGGCCGAGCCCTGGGGTACGGCGGCCGCTGAGCGCCCCATGGTGCCGACAAGAGCTCCTGCACGGCCTGCCTGGTGGGGTGCGCGGGGCAACCGCCGGCGTGCCCCCTGCGCTCGACCACGCTCTCGCATGGCCTGCAGCCGACGACGTGCTGCTGGACGCACAGAGACAAACCAGTGCTACGTTTCCTCCTTCGAGGCGCGCGTCCGACCCCGACATGTGGTACATACCCATCTCGTGGTATATCGTTTCCCGAGTGGCGTGGCCAGAAAGCGCCAGCCACGACGCTTGTACCAAAAGATTTCTCAGTGCGCGCGTCGCCCCAAGGGGGGCGACGCACATGTAGTGCAAGTATGTTGGGGTGAGGCCGATGCTGGCCTTCTCCTCATGCGGCCTGCTGGCGGCAGGTGGACGCGCCCTTTGCTGAGCGCGTAGCGGCCTGGCATTCCCGCGCCAGGCCGCCGCCACCGCACAGAGTTCCTGGCCCTCACACCTTCAGCAGCGGCCACAGGAGTGAGCCGCCGCCCATGGAGCCGAGCAGCGTGCTGCGGCAGCCGCCACCTTTGAGCAGGAGTCTCCGCTCAGTATCGAGGCCACCGCCCATGCTTTCATATGCTGGTCACGACTGCGGCACCCGCAGCACAGTCTCGCTCTGGACATCAGGACGAGGATGGATAGGATGAGGGATGTGGGGGGTTAGTGGAGTAAGGCTTGCAAGTTTGTGCTCTAGACGTCATGTTCCCCTCCTCCCCCCATTCCTTTCCCTTCGTTGCATATATGCCGCCCTTCCTCCCCCCTGTAGCGATGTAGCAGGCACTGCATTTGGACCAGCTAGGTGGCAAACACCAGGGGGTGTAACACGCGCCCGTACGCGTCCAAACTGCGGGGGCCTCGCAGGCGCTCAAACTGCAAGATCACCACACGACTGACACTCTGACTCATTAATACTCAATCCCACCCCATACCCAATCATGCTAGTTTAAACCCGGCCGTACATGTTCAAGCTCATTTCGCCCTGGCAAATGCACATTCAAAGCGCTCACACGTAGGATGACTCATACACAGCCACTCGCACTCAAGCTCTCCGCATTCTGACTCAGTTACACCAAGACAATCGGAAAAGCAGCGAGCTAGAACTTTGACGCGCGTACGGGGATCTCCACGTCGAATGAAATGGGCACGCCCGAAATGAGCACCAGAAACAACTGGCCCTATGCCCAACACCACCACCACCACCACCACCACCACCACCACCACCACCACCAACAACAACAACAACAACAACAACAACAACAACAATTACTAGCACGTGGGGACACTCCGTTCTCACCAGTGCCAGGGTTTTCATAGGAGGCGGGCAATACCCCCACTTTGTGGGGGGGCCGGTTCAAGCTCTACCAAATTTCCAAACGACTCTTCGCCACCACCCACACCCAGCTACCCGCCCTATGACGTTCGGACACTTCACTTCGTGGCATGCGGACGACCGTGGCTACTATTCAAGGCCCCGCGGCCGACGACGACGGCGTGCGCGCGCGAAGAAAAAACGAATGTGTCCCGCATGGTATTATTTGACAGGGATGATGGCCCTGGCAGGTGCGCAACCGTTGTCGCAGAATTTCGAAAAAGTTGCTCGCAAAAGCCCGTTTGACAGAAATGTTTAAAAAGTGTTGGTTTCCTACGAATCCGCAAGAGCGCGCGGGATGAGATTTTGACATTTTTTGTTGAAAAACCATTGGTTTTTTGATGTTTTTATGTTAAAATCGCTCCGAACACTAAGCTTTTGGAAGGATTTCGTCTTGCGCGCGCGAATGTCCACTTTACCTTATTTTTTGCAAGGGATTCTTGAAATTTGATTATATTAGAACAAGAAAAGACATTTTATAGTGTTTTTTGCAAGGTCAAAAACGGATTACAAACAAAACAACCGGATCTGGATCACATCTTTTAACCTGAGTCTACCTCACGAAAATAGGAAAATGGATGAAAAAGCAGTGGAGTGTGGCTACACATTCTGGGGCGCGCACCCAGGGAGGCAGGAGGCCCAACAATAATTATTCCTTAGAAATAAAATAATGTTTTCAACAACAACACCAGCAGCTAGCAGCAAGCAGCAGCACAGCAAGCAGCAGCAACAACAACAACAACAAACAACAACAACAAACAACAACAACACCAACACCAAACAAACAACACCAACCACAAACCAATCAACACCACAACAGCAACAGCCACGCACCACAAACAGCCACAGCAACAGCAACAGCAACAGCAACAAGCAACAGCAACAGCAACAGCAACAGCCAACAGCAACAGCAACAGCAACAGCAACAGCAACCGCAGCAGCAGCAGCAACAACAACAACAACAACAACAACAACAACAACAACAACAACAACAACAACAACAACAACAACAACAACAACAACAACAACAACAACAACAACAGCAACAGCAACAGCAACAGCAACAGCAACATCAACAGCAACAGCAACAGCAACAGCAACAGCAA